CTAATATGCTTATTTATGAATTGCAGACTTTAGGCGTTTTAACAGACTTTAGTAATTAAATATACTGTAGTGTAGTTTTTGTGTAATTTCCTATGAAATTACACAAATCTATGTTTGTAATGTCCTATCTTCCCAATAATCTTTTGTCATATGGTGCTTTGAAACATTAATGGTTTTGGCTTGGCATCCCCGACCTCTCTTCCAATCGTCCAACTTTTTTTTTTTTTTTGTAAACAGCTCTGATTACAAAACAAAAAAAACTATTTATATATATTTTGGCACCTTTATTTCCTTGGCTTGAATTTCTGGTATCTTGTTAATGCAGTTGCAGGTTAAAAAAATCCCTGTCTATTGTGTCAGGTCCTGTTACTATTTTATATGTAGTAATCATATCACCTCTTTTTTTTCTATCTTCTAGCCTTGGCGTGTTTAACACCTTCAGTCTATCCTATTAGCTAATGTTCTTAAATACTGGGAGCCTCTTAGAGGCAGGGCTTTGCACCTTTTCTAGTTTGCTAATGTAATGAAGTTAGTGATGAGGGAGTAAAGTCTTTACTTGTAATTATCTAAGTGTAATTACCTAAGTGTAGTTACAGGATGAGAGTTACACTCATGGTGTAAATATATGACAAGCAAGGAGCACTCTTTATATACTATATCCTGTGTATATATTTCCTAAGCATCTTACGGTATCGTAGGATGTGAGCTGTCTTTGTGGTGGATTGTCTTTCCTCTAATCTTTGTCATATGATGCTTGAAACTACTGTATTGATGGTTTTGGCATCCATCATAAACATCAGTTTTTTCTACTTGTCCATAATTCTGTTTGCGACAGAAACCTTTTGGCACTTTATTCTAGATACTGCAGGTTTTAAAAATTCCTTTCATTATTTTGTATGTAATGATCATATTGCCTAGTTTCCTTCTAATTACTGGCTTTGGCATATTTAAAATCTCTAGTCTATCCACATAGCTTTTGTTTGTTATTTCTGCAAGCCATGTGGTCGCATGTTTGCCCCTCTCCTATTTTGTTAATATTATTTTTTTAGATATGAACTCCAAAAAATCAGCTGCATACTCCAATTTTGGTGTCATGAATTTCATGAGTAGTTTCTTTAGCATTTCTTCTTCAATGTATTTAATACTGACGTTGAAGTTTGCAAGTACTGCATACGGTCCTCTTGCAATGCCTTTGATGGGGTACTCAGGTGACTGCTGTCCAGAAACTTAACTCACATCATTTTCTTTATCTGAGTTCTTTAATATCTTTCATCATAATTTTAGACTGTGTAAAGCCCACAGCTTATTTTACATGGAATTCAATCTGCAATGTGTTGTTCCATTCACTAATTTTGTCTAAGTCATTTTGAAGGACATGACAGTCGTCTACATCTTTAATTCTCCCTAATAACTTAGCATCATATGCAAACATATTTATGTAACTGAATCCCATTTTGTAGATCATTTATATAAACAATGAACATTACTGGAGCTAGAAATGAATTTTGTGGCACTCCACAGTAACTTTTCTTTAGTCTGATATGATACATTATTACTAATCATTAATTTTCCTATCAGTTTGAAAAATTTTCATCCATAACAACTTTTTGTGTGGGTCTCTGTGAAAGGCCTTTTTGCATGATCTCTGTGGCTCTATTGTACAAGTTATGATGATTTGCTACCCAGGACCTTCCCATTTGCAAACCATATTGATTGTCCATTATTATGTCATCTCTTTACAGGTTTTCTGCCCATTTGATTTTAATTTATTTTTTCTAGTGATTTGATTACAATGCTTATCATTGACACAGGTCTGTAATATAAAGTGTCTTCTCTATTTCCACTTTTCTAGATTGGAATTATTATTACCTTTTTCCATATGTCTGTGAGGTTCCCTGTTTGTAAGGATGTTGTGAATACTATATATGTGAACTGAAATGTGTAGTGGGGTGCTAATCTCTGATGCATATTTCCTTAAAACCCAATCAAGACTGTCTGGCTTGACCAGTTTGTTTTTAATTAGTTTCTTAAGGACACTATATGCACATCAGCTCTTCAACCTCTTCACAACAAATATAAGAAATATTGCCAGGACACAAGAGAAGGTTTGCAATAGACAATTGGACAAGTTTCTGTAGGAAGTGCCAGACTAATTTAGGTATAATGAATATGTGGGCTTGCAGACTGCTCCAAGCAAACAGCCTTACCAGTCAAGTTACCACAAGATAAACGTGGCCCGAGGCCTGGCATGGGGAGTAGAACTCTTGAAACCAACTACTGTACAGATAAACTACAGATATGTACTCTGTGTTGTGCTTAAAAGTCTATATTGTGGCTGGTTCTCTAAATATCTAATTTTGCATGAACAAACTTTGGAACTGCTTGTTTAGTGTTTCACACATTGACTTTTCAGTCTCTGCGAGTTTGTCTCCCATTTTTAGTGTTTTCATTTTGTCCTGTACCTTTTCTGTAATGTTCTTTAAATGAATTAACAAAATAGGCCCCTATCCCATTCTCAAAGCTCCTTTCTGACACTCTTTTTCTTTGCCATACCTTTATATCTGTATACCATGTAATTGTTTCATGCTTTTTTGTGTTGCAGGTATATCTGTTGGCTTGGCTCCTTCTTTTGTCGATTCAATTTTTTGGTCTTTTTCTCTCCGGCTTTTTCTCAATTTCTATTGAACCAGTCCTGTTTCTATCTTTGTCTACTTCAGTATAAAAAAATTGTAGTGCCTTCATCATACATCTCACAAAATTTGGGATTTAGTGCCTTCATCATACATCTCACAAAAAATACATATAATTCATTTCCTTGCCAAACAACATACGTTTCAAGTTAAATCCATTAACTAACTCTTTAAGACTTCCATAATGTCCTCTCATGAAGTCAAGTTTTTCTGTTGTCTCACCTTCCCAGGTCTCTTCTAGATTATAACATTCAGTGGAACCTCAGTATTCAAACTTAATTGGTTCCTGAAGGCGGGACAAGTACTGAAAAAAATTATCATAAGGAATAATGTAAATTGGATTAATCTATTCGAAATCACAAATATAAATATATTAATGCAACAATTAAGTGAAATAATTGCTAACACTACTGATTGGCGAGCGCTCGTTTGATTAATGAGAAAACCACATAATGCATTCCTGCTGCTTCTCGCACATTCTTGGATGCCTCCGACAATGCAAATAAAATATGTTTTTTGTCTAAAGTTGCTAATGATGCTGGTATCAACAAATTTCCCCATTTAAAATAATGGAAATCAAATTAATCCGTTTTATCACCGTAAAACATGAATATGATATTCGATGTTTTAAATAATGGAACTCCATGTTTCTTAAAAAAAAAAAGTGAAAAATAAAAAAAAATAAAAAAAATTTGAAAAACAGAACAAATGTCAAAAAGATTTGTTCGGTGTTTGTCAGGTAGGCTGCTCCATGTTTCTTAAAAACAAAAAAAATAAAAATGAAAAAATGAAAAAATTTAAAAACAAACAATTGTCATAAAAGCTCGTTCAGTGTGTCGGGTAGGATGCTCCATAATGACAATCTATCTTTGTTTCAAGTGTGTTCAATTTGTTTTGACCTTTTCATTTATTTATTAATAATGGACCAGCCTACCCGACAAACACTGAACGAATCTTTATGGCATTTGTCCGTTTTTCAGATTTTTTTTTTATTTTTTATTGATTTTTTTTTTTTTTAAACGTGGAGCAGCCTACCTGACAAACACCGAACGAACCTTTTTGACATTTGTTCTGTTTTTCAAAATTTTAATTTTTTTGTTATTCTACAAAAGTAAGTCAATGCTTTGCAACATCACAGCAGTCACCCTTTTGCATACCAGCATCATTAGCAACTTTAGACAAAAAACATATTTTATTTGCATTGTCAGAGGCATCCAAGAATGTGCGAGAAGCAGCAGGAATGCATTATGTGGTTTTCTTGTTAATCAAACGAGCGCTCGCCAATCAAGACAAATTGTCGGCGATCGGCGTGCTCGTTATTCAAAATGCTCGTAAATTGAGGCGCTCGTCACACGAGGTTCCACTGTATATGAATTTCACAGAGGCTAAGTGTGTCAAGAAACCAAAATAAATCTCAATCAGAGGTGTTTGAAAAATTTGTTTATGACTCTGGTAGTCTTTCCGTTGTGTTATGTCCATAGACAACAGTTAAACTACCGAACCAAATAATGGAAAATAATAGTTTTGGTTATGTGGTAATGTATATTGCATTAATTTTATCTTGAGCCCATATTGCTACTGTTAAAATTTATGTTTTGTACAGTGAGATTTTAGTAATCCCATTTTGTTTACATTTCATTAGGATGGCTTCATATATTGCTGCAGCTAATTTTTGCAAGTAGAAAAGTTTAATAGATTTTCTGTTACCATAAAAGCCTCTAGCTTAAATCACTTCTTTCCTCTCCAATATAAACACACTAATGTATAAAAATACTGTACTATATTTAAAGAAAGATTATAATTTTTTCCGAGCTAAATCTTAATGAATAAAATTTGAATTTATAAACTCACAATGATCCTTGGAGCTCTGATTCTTGATTATGTAACTTATCTGGAAGAATTATTTGTGTAATCACTCCAGGATTTCATTGTTGTTGAAAATAGTGCTTAGTAATATTTACACAGGAATTAGAAAAAGGAATATTTTATTTCACACAATTTAAGCCACTTCAGTTAATTATGCTCATATGATTGGAAAGGTTATGACAAGGCTCTTAAGGTCTTAATCATGATGATCATTCACAATTCAGCAGGATGTGCTGCTTTACAATTCCATGCTAAATCTCTTAAGATGATGCTTACTGATCATTTGAGGAAGATTCATAAGACCCTAATTGAAGCTAAAAACCTTTTGGACCCTTTGTTCTCAGCATCTACCAACCACATTGCATGAATTAGGTACTGTATAAAAAAAAATAGCAATGAGCCCACCTGAAGAACTTGCTGATCGTTGATCACTTTTTATTTTAGGTAGCAATGGTGGCATCAGTAAGACCTGAGGACGATTTAGCAGCTGCGTCCACAAGCGTCTATAAACACAACCTTAGTACCTCCTTCACCCCAGTCTGCCCTTACTGCAACAAGTCCTCCTTCTACTCTCCAAGGGATCTGGAGCGTCATATTCGTGTTCATACTGGAGAGAAGCCATACAAATGTCCTCATTGTAATTATCGTGCAAGGCTGAAAGCACACATGAAGTCTCACTTATTGCGAAAGCATGAGGGACAGTTAAATAGTAGTATGATAGGAATAATATCAAGTGGGCATCAGTATCATTGAGAATAACATTGCAACTAGAATTTACAGTATTTTTATTTTGGGAACTCAAAACAAATTTCTAATATTTAAATGACAACTTTCAACAAATCTAATCAATTTGTGAGTTAGGAGTATGAGACCTTTATATGTGTAAATGTTTTTACATTGTTTGCATATGCTGCTTCATCAGGAACACATTAATATATAAGATATGTACTGTATAAAATAATTAAACTAGGACCTAAGTATCTAATTCGAGCTTCAAATGGCAAGGAAGTGTATCATTATTTTATGTATCTTGTATAACCAGTTTTGGTAGATTTTCTTAATACTGTATTATTACAAAAAAAAGAGCACTGTATTAAAGTACAGTTTAATTATCAAATTACAGTATTTTATTTTTAAATTTACCTTACAGCTAGGCATTATATAAAATGTTTAGTCGTGTCAGAATTGGTTATTATTCAATAATAATTATGAGTTATCACATAAAGTGTCTCATTTGATTTGATAAATACTAGTCATCTTATTTGAGAAAGAGAAAGTGAATACTGCATCTGTTTACTGCCATAAACAAGGATAACTTTCAAAGCTACTTTTAATAACAAAAGAGTGAAGGTTGGCAAAGTTATGCTAGTGCTCAGCTTCCATGTATAGTATCATAGGTCATCATTATGCAGCTCCAGTTATCCCATTTTGGTTCTATGTGAAGTTCATGCTTGATACCACTGAGTTTTATATTCACTTTTGATATACTGTATAAACATTATGCATTACTGTATAAGGAATGAACTATAAGCAAGGGGAATGTTCAGTTGAATATAATGTGGGGAGTAAAATAGTGTGGGAATGTTAAGAGGAAAAACTTGTTGGAAGAACAAAGTAAATGCCTGTAATCAAGGCATATATATGTGGGATTTTATTTAAGTGTAAGTGACAAACAATCTAGAAAAAAAGGACAATGTGGTAATTGGATGTTACCTTAAGTGGTTTCAGTGCATCCATGTTCTTATTAGTGATTTTTTGCAATCTTCTTGCATTGTTTACAAGGGTGTTGAATATTAATTACAAAGTGAGTAGCTTGTTATCAGTGTATACTAAGCAAATTTTATATAACTGCACTGATAGTATCATTAGAAACTTGTGTAATAATGATATATAAATTAATTACTGCAGTACTCTACTGGAGATTGTACTTGTGTAAGGAATAATAAATATACAAAACTCACTTAACATTAATATTAATTTAATGCTGTACAGTACTTTAGTATTATGATAAAATAATACATTTTCCAATTTGTATGGGTTTTTATGTTTATAAATTCCTACACTGGTCAGAGACCAGGCTAACCAGGACATTGATCCTTGCAATTACCACAAGGTAACCAGAAGTGTAAGATATATGGAAACTTCATATCAAAATGCTATGAGGATATTTAGGAAGAAAATTTGGAACTGATATGAATTGTAATCTACATTAATAATAAAGTGTACTAAAAAATGTAGGACTGCTAATGGAAATTATTAGGAGAGTGTTTGATACAACTGAATTGTACAGAAATGTTATTGTGCAATTATACAGAAAATGGAGATATAAGATTTGAAACACTGAACAAAAGATTATATTGTAGATAATCTAATTGCTTACAGAAGGCTGTTCTCAGAACCACGCATAATCTATACAAGATTTTATTTCAATATGGCATTTCAACAGTACATTTTGGTTAGCAATTTGTATTTCCTCCAGAAAATGGAGATTATTAGTGATGTCTCTACGTTGATTTTTGATATTTTGGCTAAGAGCCTCATATAACAAAGTTTCTACAATAAAATATTATTTACCAGATACAGTATTTGTTTTCATGAATGATTACATTTGTTTTCCCAGCAGTCAAAATATACCTAAAATGATGATCAGTTATGCATGCAATATCCTGATGAGTGGTTTGTAATATAAACAAACTGTTTAAGAAATGTATACAAGTATTTATGAAATGAGAGTATATATGCAACATCATCATAATTATTATCATGTTAACAACTTTCATGGATTTGGATATAAATATAATGTACACATAGTTATGGTGGTTTGCTTTAATAAGGCTCCTTACAGGCATGTTGCTGCTAACTTTATCCTTCCATTTTGTATTTAGTCCTCCTCCATGTGTTTTCACGCACTTGCATATTATACATTTTAATTTTTTATCATCAGTATTATTTTCACCATTTCCTTTTGGTAGGAAGGCTGTTGCCCAAAGGCCAGTGTAAGAAAAGGTCAGAAATATATAAAATAATACCCAATCATTGTCCCTTATGCTCTTGTATAAGTTTATTGAATAGTATTTAAGTACATTGATTGAGTTGTGCATTGAAGTGCTATATAGTAATTACCTAAGTGTAGTTACAGGATGAGATTTATGTTCGTGATGTCCCATCTTCCCTGTACTCTCCGACAAATGAAACTACTGAAAGTTTTGGCGTCCATTGTTCTTGAAATTACAGGTTTCGGGAATTCCTCTGTCGATTCCTGTTATTGTTTTGTATACAGTGATCGTATTGCATCTTTATTTTTTTCTATCTTCTAGCTTTGACATACTGTACTTAACATCTGTAGTCTCACCCCCATAGCTATTATTTTTCAGTTCATGAAGCCATATTGTAGTATGTCTTTGCCCCTTTGCCAGTTTATTGATATGATTCATGAGATCTTAGGCTCTTCGTTCCTACCTCTCGATACTTAATCGAATGGTATATTCCAGAGCCTATTGCATGGGTGTCATGTAAAAATACCACCCTGTGGATTGTAAGAGTGTACTCCCTTCCACTGATGCTGCTTTACAATAGCCACACATTACACCACAACTTAATGTCATCAGCAAATTTCACCTGCCCATTATATTTACATTGAAAATTGTTTCATTTCCTTTATTTGTATTCATGTATCTTTTCCCATTTTTGCCTTTGAAATATTGTACCTAAAATGTTTACCAAGGCAATCCTTATTCTTTCCTTACATTCTTCTTTCTCGATGCAGACAAGTGGCAACTATCATTTATGCGATAGTCAAACTAACACATGAATTCTTTAGCAAACTATCCTTTAAATTACTCTTTAGATTTCTCTAACAATTTAGGGCAATATAAATGTTTTGGTGAAGATTCTACATGTGGTTACACCCTTAAAACATGGCAAGTTCATAGTGGGAAATTTAATTGAAATCATATCTTTTAGTGCTAAGTGAATATTTACACAGAAAGCTGCTGAAGTAATCAAATATTCATGAAGTATCAACATCATTTGTCTAGCTTGCAGAAAATCTTTAAAAACCGGTATCATCAACGACTGTACATATACGTCATGCATCTTGTTTCCCAAGTGAGTAGTAGTAAATGTCAATACAGTATCTTCCTAGCATCAACATCTCATTCATAGCCTGCCTTCTAAACTCACTTCAACAGTTACATCTATGTAAGAGTAACAAGGGATTGTTATAGTATGCATGAGAATGTCGAATCCACCTCCGAGGTACCAGTCAGTGTACTCAAATGCACACACAACTTAAACTTTGTCATATACGTGATAAGACACCATGGTGGGAGAACTTGTCCTTCTCACTGCTAGAATCAAGTATGGTTAACACAAAACAACTAGTTTCAGTGATAGCCTGGAATTAATTTTTTGTATTTAATAGCCTTGGAAATTAGTTTTTAAAAACATTCTTTTATATGTTACTTTACTGGAATTGACAAAATTGAATGACTTCTAACTTAGGAACTAGAATTGCCTGGCAGAAGTTAAGTCTTAGTCAACAAGAACAATCAGCATTAACAATACTTCCCAAACTAGCCAATCTGAAGTTCCAAAAGAACTGAAAGGAGCAGGTAACTGAATCTCCTTTTATAAAACACTTTACAAAAGGGACTGTAATAATGATTAGAGGTGTTGAACTAATATCTTGATGGTTACTTTACACTTGGGATTCACTACAGAACATATATTAAATCCCACATAGAGGTTATAACATTCAACACACAAGAGGCTGGAAGCAAAACATTGTCAGGGTTAACTGGAACATTCACAAGAAAGTTATACCAATCTTACCTAACCTCTAACTTCTTATACTTCTGTAAAAAGCACCACATACCACACTGCACAGATACCAGTACATAAAGTTTACAGAGATGATCCTCCAATGCTGTAAAAAGTAATTTACAATTAACAAGGATGTGACCCCACTGCTTTACATCCCTCACTGTATCATCACTGCACCCACAATGGCTGAGTCTTACCATGCATTAGTCCTTCTCACTAATATGTTCCAAATGTTTTTTGAGTTTCAATTTATATTTTTAATAACTCCTTTTAGAAGTTCAGACTGGATTTCTTAATTTAACATTTGTATTTTTCAATCAAATGTATTTGGAAATGCTACTAAAAAGTAATGCAGTTACTGTATTTACATTAATTTAGAGAGGTCAGTTCACCCATGGTGAAATTGCCTATTGCACATGAGCAGCCTAGTTGCTGCATTGGCAGGAGTTTTAAGTACACTTTCACCATAAAACACCATTGAACAGTCCCTTACATCATTCACTATGCATGCACTATCATTATCTGCCCAGCCTAAAATATAAACCTGCTAGAACCTGTGTTGATTATACCACCTGTGTCTAGTGAGCATCATCCTTTTTTGTTAATGATCAGGAAGTTGCAGTCATCCTCTAGTATCTGTCATTTTTTTATTTGTAACTCATCTTTCCTGCACAAGCATCCTGATAGTGGATTTCATCATCCAGTAGCATATAATTTCTAATATACTGTACAGTGTATTAGATGCACTGTACAGTATGTAATTAACATCAACTTTAATTTTAATAAACTAAATTCTTAAGTAATACCTAAAGATTCAAGAGATTAAAAGATAATCTTTTTCAAATTACCACCTTGAACAGCCTCCTTCTGCATAGTGGGCATAAACAAAAATTATCTTCAAATGTAATCCAACACATGTTAAAGGAAGACAATTACAGCACTATATAGTCATGTTCACTGTGATAAATATATACTGATGGCTGAAAGACCATGTATGGTATAGGATGTGCAGTTATGTATGACAAAAGGATATTCAGTAACAAATTTCCATGCTCATCCTCTATCTTTACAGCTAAGCTTACAGCAATGAGGCTCCAAGGCATCAAGGAAGCTGATCGAGAAACTAGGGATGCCATCACTCTAAGTTCCATCAACTAGACTTTAAACAAAAATGAGCAGTATATCAGATTTAAATGGCAGTGCCACTGGAATTATAAGATACCAATAGTGTTCTAATGTTATGTAATGAGGTGGTGTTCCACTTACTATAGAACATATGTTGATTCACATAAGAAATATGACAAAAAAAAAAGGAATTCTGGGATACATGACAAGACATTGCAAGACTGTTCTTGAAAATTAAATGCACATTGAGACTTACGAGCTTTCTAAGAAATGTTTTGTATGAGCTATGTAGTGAATAACATTATATTATATAACATTATATATGAACAAATGGGCAGTTTCTTTCACCCTGATGCCTTTGTTCTCTTAGCAGTAAATAGGTACCTGGGAGTTAGACAGATGCTATGGGCTGCTTCCTGGGGGTGTGTAACAAATAGGAGGCCTGGTCGAGGACTGGGCCACAGAGACGCTAAGCCCCAAAATCATCTCAAGATAACAAGAGATTAATAATTGAGTTCTACAGTTAATCAAGTGGTGTTGAATAACCTGAGCAGTTCCAGTGAATGGTCTGTTTCTAAATATTACCATAATATTTGTAATGCTGCTTTCTTTTCACTTCTAACTTAACGAAACACACACTATCATACTCAAATACCAGTGTAGGTATTTTACCTGTATTTACTATTTGTGCCTGCAGAAATACATATATAGCTCTTGGATCCTACCTTTCTAACAAATCTATTTTTACTCTATTCTGTCTACATATATTTCTTTCTAACCACATGCACACTTCACAAACAGAGTGATTGGAACAAGTTAGGTGAGAAGGTGGTGGAGGCCAAAACTCTAAGTACGTAATTTCAAAGCGTTATACAGTATAACAAAGAGTACTCAGAAGACGGGACACCACAAGCATAGCCCTCATCCTTTAACTACACATGGGTAATTACACTTAGGTAATTACACATCCCCAGGAAGCAGCCCGTAGAAGTTGTCTATCTCCCAGGTACCTATTTACTGCTAGGTGAACAGGGACATCAGTGTAAAAGAAACTACACTGTTGACCAGTGTGTCTAGCAACAGAAGCAGGAACAGGAAACCCATGACTTGTAAAGGGTCACCTTTTTCCTGATTAGTTTTCTTAGGTACATTTTTAACTACAGTATAGCATTGTTCTAGCGTAATTCTCATAATTCTGTGGCGCGGGTTCGATTCCCGCACGAGGCAGAAACAAATGGGCAAAGTTTCTTTCACCCTGAATGCCCCTGTTACCTTGCAGTAAATAGGTACCTGGGTGTTAGTCAGCTGTCACGGGCTGCTTCCTGGGGGTGGAGGCCTGGTCGAGGACCGGGCCGCGGGGACACTAAAGCCCCGAAATCATCTCAAGATAACGAGAATAGCATCAAGAGCTACATAGGTTTACTGTACTACTCTTTGAAGACTTTTCTGGTAACTGTTATGCACTGTTTCTTGGAAAGTTCTGAGTACAGTATTATAAAGTTCTAATTGATAAATGCTAAATATAAATTGTATTTTATTTCTTAAGCCATATAATTTTTTAGTAGACAGGTTTCACTAATATTTATGAGTCCAGTTTTTAAGTACTGTATTTTGTTTAAGACACATTTA